GTTCCTCTAGCACATTGGGTAGGTCTCTAGTGGCAACTTCATCTAGAAGTTTATCTGAAAGCCCGTTCATGAATACGTCAATAAACGCTTGTTCATTCCATCTAACTTCGGCCGCATGGGTACGGAATTCTAGAGCGTAATCAACAAGAGAACGAGAACCCTGTCTCATACGTAGCAAGGTCTTGGCAGCATTAGTTCTTCTCCCTGGAGGATCAAAAGCCCTCCTAAAAGCTGCAACAAATTCTACATAGTTAAACACTATCGGGTTATCGTTCTCCCATAGAGGATTCGCCCAAGTTAATGCCCTATCAACCAATAAAGTGATGATGTAACCTATCTTTGCCCTATCTGTAGGGTATGCTCTCGGATGAAGCTCAAAATAAATACTAACTTGGTTCAAAAAACCTCGGCAACCTTTAGGATCACCCCCGTAATGAAGAGGGGAGGTAGCATGATTAGGAGTACCCATAGTAACCATTTCCATGGGTTGTTCCTGAGGTCTGAGTACTGGGGTTTGCTCCTCCGGTTGGAGATGGGCAGTACGAGCTAGCAAGGTTTGTACCGCAATAGCGAACTGGTCCATGCGATGGTCCAGTTCTTCAAACCGGTCATCAGGTACCGGCCCGAGAGGGTTAACACCTGCAGGGTCCATGGCCCTAGTGTAATGTCACGACAGTGACCAATGTCACAACAGTGACCCCTTCACACAGCGTGAAACCCACAGAAAGACGGTTACCGGACCTTAGAATGGCCGGACTAGCGTCTGAGAATAGTCAAAGGAATAGCCAGAGGTCAAGGGAATACGGAAGACGGGCACACGATTATCCAAGCCAAGTAACGGGAAACCAGAACACAGAATAGTCAGAGAGATAGCCAAGGGTCAATTACCAAGAAGGACAAACAGATATAATAGCACCAGGGGACTTTAAACAAGAACCCCAGTAGGGCATCTGACAAGTGTCATGATAGCCCTTTTATAGTGTGGGTTCTTTGGCTTTAATTTTGTAGCCACGCCCCCAAAAAGTCCGGGAGCGTGGCCACGCTTGAATTTTGGCGGCATTTTCTTTCTGACGTCGGCGCGCATGCGCCGCGTCATAAATGTGGGCGTGTTCCAAGCGGCCGGCGTCAGAAGAGCTGAGCCGCCCCCCGGAAGTATCGGAGGAGGACCCGGCGCTGCGCGGGACCGGCGGGGAAAGGTAAGCGCTCGTTACAGTCTGTCAGCATTTGTATATGTGTGTCTGTGTATCTGCATGTGTGTTCCTGTGTGTATCTATGTGTCTATGTACCTGCATGTATGTCAGTGTGTGTATCTGTGTGAGTGTGTCATTGTTTGGATCTGTGTGTCTGTACATCTATGTGTCAGTGTGTGTATCAGTGTGTTTGTGCATCTGCTTGTATATCAATGTCTGCATCCGTGTGTCTGTGTATCTGCATGTGTGTCAGTGTTTGTAACGGTGTCTGTATTTGTATGTGTCAGTGGTTTTGTATGTGTCAGTGGATTTATCTGTGTGCCTATGTATCTGTATGTGTCTGTGTTTGCATCTGTGTGTTTATGTATCTGCATTTGTGTCAGTGTGTGTGTCTGTGTGTCTGTGCATCTGCATTTGTATCAGTGTTTGTTTTTTGTGTCAGTGTTTGTATCTTTGTCTTTGTATCTTTGTCTTTGTGTGATTTTGTGTGTCTGTATCTGTATGTATATCAGTGTTTGCATCGATGTGACTGTGTATCACATTATGTATCAGTGTCTGTATCTGTATGTGTGTCAGTTGTTTGTATCTGTATATCTGTAGGTGTGTCAGTGTGTGTATTTGTGTGTCTGTTTATCTGCATGTGTATCTGTATGTGTGTCAGTATCTGTATGTGTGTTAGTGTTTGTATCTGTGTATCTGCACTTGTGTCAGTCTGTATTTTTTTAGAAACTGCATTGTTTACATTGCAGTACTAAGTCTGCCTAGTCTTGCAGTACTAAGACTAGTGCCTGTCTACCCATTGGGTGATGTCGGAGGAGGCAGAGTGTGGGAGGGTGGGAGGAGGAGGGGTTAACTATATTAATAACAAACATTTTGCTAATCTGAGGGGTACAATTTATGGAATTGGGCTGCCAAGGAAAACTCAAGTGTGAAGGATTTCCCTATACCCATTCAGCTATTATGACTCTCCCTGCTATTTAAGTTCACTAAAGTGTTCGTTTTATTTTATTGGTTCGGTAAACCATTCGTTTACCGAACGGAGACCACCCTGGGTAGCAATTAGAACATGGAACACTGAGTAACTATACAAAAACCGCAAGTTAATTGAGTGCTCCTAGGTGGCCTACGAACTCACGTGGTGAGAACAAAGGATGGCGGCCATCTTAAACTCCCGAACGTGGCCAGCGGGACTTGGTCGTCGAGTGCCTGGAACTGTTTTGGGCATGGCACTCGCACGAACACCCGGTCCCCATGGTAGTCCCATACAAACGGTTCCAACCGTTTGGATATTTTGCTCACAGTATCCTCAGCTATCCAGGGATGTGCTTGTTATATTGTTATGATGTGCATAAAGTATAATTCTAGGGGGGGGGAGCCAACCGCAGACCATGCTAGACGTGTGAAAGCAGAGCTCCGAAGGGATTTCAGGGCAATCCGTCTACATCGGGACTCATACTAATCATGGGACACCCCAAAAAGAGCATCACGCAGTCTCACCCTCCAACGAAACAATCTGGAGGCAAACCCAGCTCTCTTAGTAAGTTTTTCAAGGACAACTCCGCACAATCGGGCGACGAGATAGGCCCTAAGATGGCGCCGGAGCCTGTCTCCGAGCACTCCTCGCCTCCTTTGAGCCCGGCGGTCTCAGACGGTTCCTCAACTACTGGCGACACAGATATTAAAGATTTAATCAAAAATCTACCCACCAAACAAGACTTTGCAGTTATGCTTAAGCAACTTGAAACAACACTGCAGAAAAAATTGGACAACATGGCGGCAGATGTGAGAAAAGTAGAAGGCCGAGTTGAAACCCTGGAAGATAATCAAGACCTTATACTTACCCAGGTGAAACAGGTTCAACATACCTTGGCTTCACATAATACTCAAATGGCAATGCTGTACCGCTCACTTGATGATCTCGATAATAGAGGTCGCCGGAATAATTTGCGAACATCGAGGCCTGACCTCCTCCTTGGACGCGGACAGCGACTTTCTCCAATGCTCTCATATACTCTGACAGTCCTTAACTCAAGGACCCTTCACGCTCCTTGGAAGAATGTTCAATCTTTGAGACTCGCTACTGACAAGACCGGACGGGAGACTCCCGGTGATGGTAACCTCCGATATTTTAACACCAAAGACAGTCGTTGAGTGTGGTTCCACAGGGTTATCTCCGGGGCCTTGCTCTAGGGCCCTGGTGCTGGCCCTCTGGACCGGGTCCCGATTGCTTTCCACCCTGGCTTTTCATTTTTCAGGTTTTATTATTCCTTGTTACCCTTTAATTTATAAAGCTTTTCTCTGTCTTTAAGACCCTTCTCGAGGGTGTACCCATATAGGAAAAATGTATGTTATACATAATAAAAAAAAAATCTTATTATTTACTCCCCTTGATATGCTCTGTATGGGTTCTCTCTCCTGATGGGTTTTGTTGGGGGTGAATTGGGAGGAGAGATTGGAGAGGAAGCTTAAGCCTCTTATGTTAATGTATACCTGAGTTACCAATTCAGAATCCGCTATCTAGGAGGATTTGCCTCTTGGTCCAGATTACGTAACTGCTCCATAACTACTAATTGCTACATCCAGACAGAGATAACTGTCATACTAGAGTCCCTAACCAACTTATTAATCGTTCCCCGATTTTCGCTCTCTTTGACTACTCTTCCAGTAGGATTGCCCGATTCCCGTTCAAGGCTTGCAAGACCTTGCTATAACACCACCCCCAAACATATTGCATAGACACCTGAAGCTGAGCCTTCGACCCCAGCGGTGCCCTTTTCCTTCCCTGGTAGTAAGTATTCTCCAGGGTTTACCGCCGACAGAAGGGGCCCTTTCAATACGTCATTAAACTCATACTCAATTGCTAGCTCCAGGTGACTTTCAAAGTTTTGTAAATAGTTCATTTGGTTTGTTTGAATTTGATTTTCATTTATTGTTTTTTATTATCTTTTATTGTACCTATTTAATTTAGGTCACTGTGCAACTCTAATTCTGCTACTCACCCACTCTAATCGTGGGTAGAATCACGCTGAGGCGGTACACGTATACATTAATATCTTAAGATTCACTTACAATTTCCCTCTACACACACGATATCTTAGGTGCTTTGCCATGGCTTCCATCCGTATTGTCACGTTGAATGTTAGAGGGTTAAACTCACCACATAAGCGTGCCCTCGCTCTGCGAGAGCTTCATCATCTGAAGGCAGATGTTGCGTTCCTTCAAGAAACGCACTTTAAAGCAGATGCAGCTCCTTCCTTACGCAACAATCATTACCCGACTGGCTACTTCAGTAACTTTGGGGACTCCAAGTCCAAAGGGGTAGCAATTATGGTCGGGGCTAGGACGCCTTTCACTTACACATCCCACCATTCCTTTGCAGACGGTAGGCTACTAATAGTTATAGGCAAAATTGGCAGCACCGTGGTGACATTCGCCAATGTATACCTTCCTAACACGAACCAACACCATTATTTGTGCAGGTACCTTAACATTCTGGAGAAGGTTGGAGAGGGGATTATCATAGTGGGAGGAGACCTAAACATTTCCTTAGATTCAGACTTAGATACAACCTCCACTTACACAAAATACAATGCCACGTCCAGAGCTAAAATCACACAACTCCTTGATAGACATCACTTGTTAGATGGTTGGCGGGTGACGCACCCATCATCCCGAGATTATTCATACTTTTCCTCGGTCAAACAGACCTATTCGAGAATAGATATGATTTTCTTACACCACAGATACCTTCATCTCATCCAAAATTGCACATACGGGCCAATCACGTGGTCTGACCACGGACCTTTAACCATGACAATTTCAATTCCAAATCTCTCACCCACACGTGCGCAATGGAAGTTAAATGATACACTCCTTAATGACCCTGCACACATTGCTCAATTACAGGAAAATCTAACCAACTACTTCGCAGAGAATAACGCACTAGCAGTCTCACCCACTCAAATTTGGGAGGCACACAAAGCCGTACTTAGGGGACACATTATAGCTTTGGCCTCTAAACATAAAAAAGCTAGAGAACATCAGATAGTCACTCTCACTGAGGAGATCAGACAATTAGAAGCTGCACACAAAAAATCCATGTCACTAGAGAACTATAAACAATTACTAGATAAACGATCCGCACTCCAATCCCTGCTTAACACGAAAGTTCAAAGATTCCTCCTTCTCTCCAAACATAAATACTACAATCGAGGCGGAAAATGTGGACGATTGTTAGCTAGAGCACTCCAGAAAGAAAAACAACAAACATACATCACCCAAATAAAATCCTCCAGAGATACTCCAACCCATCTTCTACCAGAAATATTACAGGAGTTTCACTCTTATTACTCGTCCCTCTACAACCTCCGACCCCAGCCACCCGACCCAAACGATGTACACAAATTTTTGTCAGAGAGACTGAAACATACAATCCCACCCAATGCTAGACAAATCCTAGATGAGCCAATTTAAGACTTAAAGATTTTTACTAAGATACTTGCCACACGATTAAGACCTCACCTGCAGGGATTAGTCCACCCGGACCAGGCCGGATTCGTGCCAGGCAGAGAGGCCAAAAATAATACAACAAAACTCTTGAATATTATATACCATGCTAATAAACAAACATCACAATGTTTGGCCCTCACTATTGACGCTGAGAAGGCGTTTGACAGGGTGGACTGGTCCCTGATATCAGCCACAGTACAAGCCATGGGATTTGGTCCAAACTGGCAACTCTCTAATACAGTACATATCTCTAATGGTACAAGGCAAGGGTGTCCATTATCTCCCCTCCTTTTTATCTTAACAATGGAGCCTTTCTTGCAAGGCATTAGAGACAACATACACATCCAAGGGATACAAATAGCTGGGCAGGAATACAAAATTTCCGCTTTTGCTGACGACCTCCTCTTTACTTTGAGAAACCCAGAAACATCTCTGCCACATTTAATGCAAGAAATAGATTTTTATGAACAAGTATCCAATTACAAGGTAAACGTCAGCAAAAGTGAGATACTCCAACTCAATATCTCCAATGATACTAAGCTCCTGCTCCAACAGAAATATCATTTCCATTGGCCTCCATCCTCAGTGAAATATCTGGGAGTACATCTATCGGCTTCTTTAGATAAAATATGACATAAACTTTCCCCCATTACTGGCTACTGTAGCCAACGATCTCAAAAACTGGGATAAACCCCACTTTTCATGGCTTTGTAGAGTCCACATTTTAAAAATGGCTATTCTGCCCAGATTTCTTTATCTTTTACAAACATTGCCCATAAACATACCACATAGCTTTTTTATGAAGGCTAAACAAATTTTTACCTCTTATTTATGGGCGGGTAAACGCCATAGATTACCTTATCCAACCCTCACGAGACACAAATCGCAAGGAGGTTTGGGGGTCCCAGATATCAAACGCTACAGTAATGCCATACTTTTAGCCCGTGTTTATGACTGGGTAGACCCTCAAATCCAAAAACAATGGACACAGATAGAAACCACAAGTTTCACAACAAACCCCGAAACCATACCTTGGCACGATCCCAATACAAATATACTTCGTCCAGGCCATGAAGACCACCCCACTATCACTCCCACTTTAAAAGAATGGCATCGGCTCAGACAAAATAAACATATCTCCCCCCATCCATCTCCACTCTTACCGATTACGGGGAACCCCAACTTTCCTCCAGGCTTGCAGCCTGAAGCATTTCGAACCTTTGAAAACCTACAAGGTCACCTACATTTAAATGAGGTAATTAATGAAAATGGAATTCTCCCCCTAACTGCAATTGTACGCACCCCCACACATTCTATCATGCAAAAATTTAGATATGTACAACTTTCGCACTATATCCAGAGGCAGCCAGATCTGCGGCAGGGATGTAGACCTTTAACTACATTTGAGTCTTTAGCCACGTCTAGAACCCTACAAAAGAAACACATAACCACTTTTTATAACTTATTACAAGCACAAGACAACGAGCAATTACCGACATACACCAAAACATGGGAGAACGACTTGGGGATTACTTTAACCCAGTCAGAATGGGGTAAAATATTCACCAACATTTTTAAGTCCTCCATCAATACTACTTTACAAGAGTGCAACTATAAACGAATCTCTAGATGGCACCTAGCCCCGACCAGATCTTATAGATTTTCCCCCAACACATCCAGAGTTTGTTGGAGGTGCACGACCGAAATGGGAACCCCGGGTCATCTATGGTGGACGTGCACCATTATACAAAACTATTGGGAAAAAATATGCTCCCTCATCAATACCATCACGGGCTATGAGTTACCCACCTCACCTGAAGCACTTGTTTTTACGCTCTATCCCTCTCCAGTAATGAAATCTACTCGTGTCTTAATAAATCACATGCTCACAGCGGCAAATAGCTTAATTCCCACCAAATGGAAACAGAGTAACCCTCCAACTATTAGAGAATGGTTAGCAAAGGTAGAGGCCATACGACAAATGGAAGAACTCTCCCACTCCTTAAATGGCACATATGATAAATACGTTCATGCATGGTCACCATGGGATACATTTATCAAAGATTACAAACCCGACAATATGTCCACACCTACATAGAGAACAGGCCTTCTAGACATAACGCTAGACGAGATTAGGGGGTACTTAACCAAGTTCTGTCTTCTCCTACTCATCGCCATTCAATAATCACTAATACTATAAAATGGTTTCAAACTAACTTCTAATTATAGAAAGGAGTGAAGCTGTATTATGTTGCTTTCCTGCAATACCAGGATGGACTTTATTGTTATGCACCACGGACATTCATTTGCCATATCATATATTTAGATCCAGCAATCTACAACTAACAATGTATGTCTATACTTTAAAGTAAGTGCCATGTAACTAATATTCTACTGATTGTAAGGTTTAAACTCCAAATTTCGGCAGTATATTGTATCAGCCTCACTGAGTTTCGAAGCTATCTTTTACTCTTGAAATATTATCCTTCTCATTATGATGATACAGAAATTGTTTATTACACCATGTTCATTGTACAATGTTGTTTGTACCGAAAATGTCACATTTACATTCCTCTGTCACCGATACGCTGGTACTGTAACATTTCATTTGTTGGAATTTTCATTGTGAAACAATAAAAAAAAAAAAAAAAAAAGTATAATTCTAAAAATTGTGAAAAATAGTAATTTTTCTGGCCAGCAGATAATTGAGTTTACTATGTTGCTGAAACTCAATTATCTGGCCTGGCCCAGAGGAGGAGCTTGTACTATATAAATTGAATGCCTGTTGCTTCGAATAAATCAGTCTTGTTCCAGCATTAAGCTTTGGCTCATGTGTGGATTATTTTGGCGATACCAGCGTTATTTTGCTCTGTGGATTATTGGCGTTTTTCGGCTATTGGGAAAAGGGAATACTTGACGGAGATATTGATTACTACCGTCACAACTGGTTGGCAGCGGCGGGATCTTACTTTTTCCTGCACCAACAACCCAAGCAAGGCACTGGGGACAGTTACTGGAAGGCTGGTACACGCAGCTTAAACGCAACACTTTAAAGGAACTGTTGGAGGTCCGTGGAAAGAGTGCCAGCAACAAAGCCAAGCGGGTCATCATTGCTGAATTAATGATGCTAGACCGGGAGAACATGGCTGCGGCAACGCCAACCATAAGGCTGGCGGAAACCCAGCGAACCGCGGCAAGTTCACCGAACGTAGGGGACAGCACAGTCATGGCCTTCTTAGGAACGGTCGGCTACTACAGGCATTTTGTACCCGAGTAAAGCACCCTGGCCAAACCCCTGACGGACTTGACAAAAAGAAATTACCCCGACAGGTCCTGTGGTCCCCGGAGTGGTAGGTGGCTTTCCAAGCTCTGAAACAAGATCCTGTGTTGGCTGCCCAGAACCTAACAAATGCTTTATTGTCCACACAGACGCCTCAATGATTGGACTGGGGTCAGTTTTGAGCCAGGTCGGAGAGGATGGAGGGGAGCACACGGTAGCCTATCTGAGCCGGAAACTGTTTCCTAGGGAGGTCAGCTACGCTGCCATTGAAAAGGAGTGCCTGGCATTAGTATGGGCCCTCAAGAACCTAATCCCTTATCGTTATGGCCACGCCTTCACCCTCATCACTGATCACAACCCCCTAGTGTGGCTCAACCGGTTCTCTGGCGATAATGCCTGTCTACTGCGGTGGAGCCTTGCTCTACAGCTGTACGACTTCACAAACCACTACTGTCCATGCAAACAAAATGGGAATGTGGATGGGCTGTCATGTCAAACTGGCCTACTAGCGGACTAAGTATTGGAATTCCCGTTAGTCCCTACTGGACCAGGCAAGGTCCAACCGTGTCTCCCGGAGCAGGGAGAAAAAGGGGGGCCTATGTGAAGGATTTCCCTATACCCATTCGGCTATTATGACTTTCCCTGCTATTTAAGTTTACCGAACGGAGACCACCCTGCAGTGGCGTACATACCAGGTTCGCAGGGGTCGCGGCTGCAACCGGGCCCGGCCCACCAGGGGCACTGCCGCCCCTGCGACCCGGTATGTACCCACTGTGGCCAGCCTCTTCTCCTGGGGGACCCAGGAGCCGGCCACCTCAGGGCCCCCCGCGGCTGGCCCTGCTGTCACCCCATGGCCGGTCCTGCGGGCGCGCAAGGGAGCACTCTCCCCTGAGTGCTTCCTCTTCAGCTCCCTCGCGCGCTGCGTACTGATACCGGAGCTGGAAGATGACGTCATCTTCCGTCGCCGGCATCCCTAGGTGGCGCGCGAGGGAGCTGAAGAGGAAGCACTCAGGGGAGAGTGCTCCCTCGCGCGCCAGCCTGCCCGCCCAGTGACCTGCCGCCCAGGAGCCCAGCAGCACCACTGGACCCCAGGGAATCCCCTCAGCACTCCAAAAGGTAAGGAGGCTGGGGGATTAAATTTAAAAAAAAACATGTGTTACTGTGTGTGTTACTGTGTGTGTTAGTGTGTGTGTTAGTGTGTGTGTTAGCGTGTGTGTTAGTGTGAGTGTGTTTTAGTGTTAGTGTGTGTGTGAGTGTTAGTGTGTGTTAGTGTGAGTGTTCGTGTGAGTGTGTGTGTTAGTGTGAGTGTTAGTGTGAGTGTTAGCGTGTGTGTGTCTGCTAGTGAGTGTCAGTGAGTGTGTCTGTTGAGTGTGTGTCTGCTAGTGAGTGTGTTACTGTGTGTGTCTGTTACTGAGTGTGTTTGTGTGTGTGTTAGTGAGTCTGTTTGATGTTTGTTAGTGAGTGTGTGTTTGTCAGTGAGAGTGTATGTTTTGTAAGTGAGTGTGTATGTATGTCTGTCGCTGAGTGTGTCTCTGTCAGTAAATGTGTGTGTCTGTTAGCTAGTGTGTATGCGTCTGTTCGTGAGACAGTGTGTGTGTGTCTTCAGCACTTACCTTTCTCCAGCGCCGGACTCCCTTGGCACTGGGGATCCCTCCGCCTCTCAGCTCCGATTGCGCATGCGCGGCAAGAGCCGCGTGCACATTCAAACCGCTCATAGGAAAGCATTACTCAATGCTTTCCTATGGACGTTCAGTGTCTTAAAATCGCGGAAGCTCCTCTAGCGGCTGTCAGTGAGAAAGCAACTAGAGGCTGGATTAACCCTCAGTGAAACATAGTTTCTCTGAAACTGCTATGTTTTCAGCTGCAGGGTTTAAACTAGAGGGACCTGACACCCAGACCACTTCATTGAGCTGATGTGATCTAGGTGTCTGTAGTGGTCCTTTAAGTGTGTGTGCATCTGCATGCACTGGCGTACATACTGCAGAGTAAGCGTGGGGGGAGGGGGGCCCACGGATCAATTTTCGCACCGGGGCCCCATGGGTCATGTGTACGCCACTGCCACCCTGGGTAGCAATTAGAACATGGAACACTGAGTAATTATACGAAAACCGCAAGTTAATTGAGTGCTCCTAGGTGGCCGGCATTTCGGCATACGAACACACGCGGTGAGAACAAAGGAATGGGGCCCTCTTAAACTCACGAACGTGGCCTGCGGGACTTGGTCGTCGAGTGCCTGGAACTGTTTTGGGGATGGCATTTGCAAGAACACCCGGTCCCCATGGAAGTCCCATACGAACGGTTCCCACAAACAGCAGAAGAACGGCGTTTGGGAGTTTCAAACAGACGAATGAGGGGAGCACTCTTCCCGTATCAGCTTTATTACATCACAGGCGGTTTTCGTATAAATTCATCCAAACGGAGACTGGTTCTTGCTACCAATTCTGTGGAACTCTAGATCGGATACAACCGCATGGCAAGCCGGTCAAATTTCCACACGATGCGACACAAAAACTACCGAACGGATTTTCGTGCAATTTGGATATGTTGTTATGATGTGCATAAAGTATTGTGACGGTAGTAATCTGTATCACCGTCAAGCATTCCCTTCTTCCCATAAAATAAAATCTCCAAGTAATCCACAGAGTAATAAATCGCTGGTATCGCCAAATAATCCACACAAATTGTCGAACGCACTTTGATTCCAGCCAAAGCATCGAAGTGCCTGAGAAGGTAAGGGTCAGCGGTGTTCGTGCAAATGCGTAGCCGATTTTAGTTCCATAGATTCAATGGCACGCACCCCTGACCGCGTTCGACAAAATTAAAATGGTCGCCGCCACGTGTTCGGTTTTCGAATGGCGGCCACTTGACTACTTCGGCTGCATCCGAAGTGCCAATTTAAAAATACAAATCCTTTCTCTGGGAGTTAAAGAGCCAGCAGCAGCACAACGAAAATCCATTATGCCCAAATCTTGAATTTAAAGGGCCAAACCTCCCAGGGACCATAATCACATGGCAAGAGGCTGGCAAGCAGTCCTCTCCAGGCACAAGTGGCGAGGTTAATTTCGCCACAAGTATAATTCTAAAAATTGTAAAAAAAAATTAATTTTTCTGGCCAGCAGATAATTGAGTTTAGTATGTTGCTGAAACTCAATTATCTGGCCTGGCCCAGAGGAGGAGCTTGTTCTGTATAAATTGAATTCCTGTTGTTTCGAATTTATTGCTTCGAATAAATCAGTCTTGTTCCAGCATTAAGCTTTGGCTCATGTGTTGATTATTTTGGCGATACCAGCGTTATTTTACTCTGTGGATTATTGGCATTATTCGGCTATTGGGAAAAGGGAATACTTGACGGAGATATTGATTACTACTATCACATCAAGTAAAAGGTTGGGAACCACTGCTTTAATGGATGGAGACACGTGACACAAACTGTCCCTGACACGCAGTAACTTAGACACAAACACAATGTCACTAATGTGACAATTTTATATAATCTCAGTTACACATTCTCACACCAGTTTACACACACAACCAATTTACACATACAACATATAAACAGTCTCCCTGTACCTTTATCAGGAGCATAATTGCGAAAACTATGAGTAGATACTGGAGGAGATAGGATCTGGTATGCTGATGAGTTCCTGGTGACTAGGGGGGAGCAGGAGAGTAGTGCCCTAAGAGCACAGGCGCCCCCCTGCTCCCTTTGCAGAGATTCTGTTTCATAGATAGGGGGAAGCCAGGATATTTTAGCTGCAGATTTGAAAATAAGTTGCTACGTTATTGCTAGACTTACCAAACTTCAAAGGTTTGTTGCACCTTTGTAGCAAGTCTGTGTAGTGATCCGTGATCATAGATAAGTACAATTTTTATATTTTTCACTTTGTAGATGGAGGTGGAGGTTAAGGATATTTGTTTTTGTTCATTGTTGTTCCCAGTTTTATCACAAATATCTGCAGTGTCTTAAAGGACCACTCTAGGCACCCAGACCACTTCAGCTTAATGAAGTGGTCTGGGTGCCAGGTCCAGCTAGGGTTAACCCATTTTTTTATAAACATAGCAGTTTCAGAGAAACTGCTATGTTTGTGAATGGGTTAAGCCTTCCCCCAACCTCTAGCGGCTGTCTCATTGACAGCCGCTAGAGGCGCTAGTGATTCTCACTGTGAAAATCACAGTGAGAGCACGCAGGTCCATAGGAAAGCATTGATAATGCTTTTTCCTATACGCTGAATGCTACAGCAGCTAGCTGCACATTTAGCCGACGGGGAGGAACGGAGGAGGATCGGAGGCAGAGAGCTCCCCGCCCAGCGCTGGAAAAAGGTAAGTTTTCCCCTTTCCAGAGCCGGGCGGGAGGGGGTCCCTGAGGGTGGGGGCACCCTCAGGGCACTATAGTGCCAGGAAAACAAGTATGTTTTCCTGGCACTATAGTGGTCCTTTAATGGTCTGCAGGCCAGTTGTACAGTGGTGTAAGAATTTTACTCTGACAAGAATTTTCTCTTAAAAATACCATTCCTCAGAGAAGCACTTTCATTGAGACATAAATAATTGAGTATATTTTAACTTTTTATGCATGCAGGTAGTAGTAAAGCTTGGCTTTAAACCATCCTGATTTCTATTGGGTGTCCTGCTTTTGGGGATTCCAAGGAACTATCCACAACAAGCATAGCATGAGGAAATCATTAGACACGCTTGTGCTATGTTCAGCGTCCTAGAACCATGCAGAGAGCACTGAAACTGGGTCTGCCCTCAGTGGGCTGGTCTTAAAAGATAGGCAGGCAGCCTGCTGTGGATTTACGCCAAGCTGACCTGCCAGTAACGGGGTAGACATATCCCCTTTCAGAGAAAGTCCAGCTCTTTTGGAGTGACTCAATTGCATCATCAACTTTTACTCCTCTTCTCAGTTCTCTGGATGCTGAAGTTTGGAGGTATGGTAAAATATTTAAGAAGTTGGATAGAAAGAAGTCCTATATTTAGAAAAAAAATCTACAGGACATTATACACAAAATGCCCTGAAGCCGCTTTAAGATTTAAAATGCAGTAAAACCTGTTGAACCTCCAGTATTCTCATTGTAATTTAAGAAATACTATGAGGGTGAGATAAACAACAAAACTCCTAACTACTTAACTACCAGAATTGAGTATAAATGTTTTTACTGTATTTAGGAGAATGAAATTTAGCCCATAAATTCCCCTACGCTCACTTTGTGTAACTACACTGTAATCATTTAGCCATCTGTTACTAATAAGGATTGTAATGCCACCAATGTCAATAAACATTTGTACTATTTACTGGCATTGTACACTGCATTATCTACTGCTCAAGTCTAAATAAAGAATGTAAAAAATGTTTAAAAAATTAATTTACTCCTGGAGGGGAACAAATGTCTCTCTCAGAAGTCACTAATCAATTATCAAATTGCATAACCCGCATCACGGGATCGGCAGGGTGAAAGGGGGTGGGCCAGTGGCACAACTTGCATCACAGATGCTACCCAAAGGGGGCAGACTTGAAGAATTGGCATGTGCAAATGCTAATCAAGCAGGTAAACCAACTGAGGGTGGACCATGCAGGTAGTAGTGTTTTTGTCATGTTACCTACCCAATCAACGTAATCCGGTTCTCTTCAGGTGTCTCTGCCTACCCAATCAGGAAGCAGACAAATTTGTTACTTAATACTTTCTGCAAAGAGAGGGATGTTGCATGTTTGCAGTGCCCATCTACTTATCCTAATTTGACAGGGCCATGAACAATGCAAGCTTAGGTTAGCAGATGGTGTCTTGCAAGTCTAAAGTAGAGGACTTGGACCACCATATGGACCAGTTTCTTTAGGCTTTACAGAACTTGTTATCACTCACTGCCTATTTGTCACCTTAGGGTCTAAGGGCATGTTCTTCTCAAACACCAGCTATGGGGTGTAATATATGTAATATGGTCCCTCAGTTTATCTCACTCCTCCTCCCAGATATGGTGGAGATCCCATGGCCATTAGGGAATTCCTTAACCTAGTGGGCATACATTTTAAAATTTCCATCTGATTGTGCCAACAATGGAATCATAATGAATCTACTTACTGACAAGGGTTTAACTTCGGCTAATCTGGTCCAGGTATGAAATAAGCCTATAGTATATGTGACGAACTGCCCAGGAAATATGTTCATTTCTAATAAGTCCAAGTTGTTTTCCCATGGTTCGGTACTTGTATCTACCGAACACCGATCCCCCCCGGCTCGTTATCTTCAAAGAAAAGCACAAACCGTGCTCTCTATGGGTGGCCGCCATTCATATAACCAAAAGCACTTGCTAAGGCCAATAGCGACCATTTTGTCTCCAGAATGCCGGCAGCGGTACGAGGTCGTCGAGTGTGTGGAACACTAGGATGGATACTTTAACTCGCGAACCCCGGTCACCTTGTACTACCACCTGCTTCTCTCACAGACAAACCAAGAGAGCGCAGTTCGGTGAAAAGACACTCCCGAACTATGTGAACA